GCCTGCGGCGCCACACTGCATGGTGCGCTTGCGGCGACTGGCAAGTTGGCCCCGATTTCTTCAGGGGACTCTTCCTCGCTCGAAGCTTCTGCAGGTGCGTTCCGTTTGCGATCTTGCACCTGTGCACCGACTGCCGGAAAGCCCCTTCGTTGAAGCCAATCTGCGGGAAGCCAGCTGCGCAGAAGTTCGAAATGCCCCGCTCCGTGACCGGCGCCGTCGACGCTCAGGCAGTGTTCCACCTCGAAGCCAACCGGGCCTTGCCCGTGCATCACGGGAAAAGCCTGCGGGTCTGTCGGTGTCACTAATATAGCGCATCCAAAGGCTTCGCTGTAGGCGCCAAGTTCCTCGTCGCCTGACAACTGGGTCGAGTCGAACAGCTGCGTCACCCTTGAAGCCCTACAGACAGCACTTGAAAGGAGCGCGTTCCTACTAAATGGCTATGCAACTTCATGCGGTTTCCTGGCCTGGGTGTCCTCCGGCTTCGAGGCGAGCTGCCTCCTCGTGTTTCCCTTGCGTGCGGAGCAGCATCAGGATGTGCATCAGGATGTTCTGTGCGGCCTCCTTGTACTTCTGCTCGGCCACAACGTCTTCGATGAAGCCCAGCTCGCTTCTGTGCAGCCGACTCCACGTCGGGGGATCGCATGCAGCCAGAAATGTGTACAGCATGCAGAAGCCGTCCGGGGGTACAGTCAAGCGGCGTTCCCAGACGCCCTCGCCCATGGTCTCCAAGTCTCTTCTGCACGCAGGTGGCAACCTCATGTGCGGAAGCAGTACCCCCTCGGGCATGTCAAAGCCGGAAGGGTCCCAGAGAGTGTCTTCTGCATTGTCCTGGGACGCCCGGGACGCGAGACTCTCCTCGCTGCTGATCGGCACAGGAAGGGATGCCCGGCACGCGAGACTCTCCTCGCTGCTGATTGGTACAGGAGAGGATGATGCTTGCACGCCTTTCAAGTCGCCAAACTGCTGGACGCGCATTCTGTTCTGGTCGTCCTCCTCGATGTTCGCCTCGATCGATGCCTCGACTCGCGTCTGCTGCAACAGCTGAGAAATGCGTCCGGGCTTGTAACCCTC